GTGTGTGTGTGTGTGTGTGTGTGTGTGTGTGTGTGTGATAATGAATTTAAATACCTACTTTTATAGTCGGTTTGGTTCGGATTTTTTCGGTAATTTTTTGATCAAAACCAAAACCAAACCAAATTTGATCGGTTTTTAAAATTCAAAACCAAAACCAAACCAAACCTAAAAAGTATCATTTTTTTGGTCGGTTTAGTTTGGTTTTTCGGGTTTTTATGAACACCCCTACTACCAATCCTTGGGAAAAGTAGAAAGGTTCAGTTAGTTTATCATTTATTTTCCTCGACAAATCTAATTAAATTGGATTGTAGTTAATTGGCTTACCTAACGGGTTGGGTTAGGTGCCATCACGACTGGTCGGATTTTGGATCGTGACACCTAACCATGTAAGAGGGAACCCACCCCATAGGTGATTTAAATTACTAATTGCTTCTAATTGTGTGGGCTACGTACGCACGTGGTGACGAGATTACATGCGTAACTACTAATTATGCTTTCCCACTCAGTTGCTTTCGTTTTATTTTATTAAATTTTCTACTCCTTAATCTCTTAATAAACAGAATTTAATTACTTGGAAATTTATTAAAAGAGTAATCACATGGTCAGTTCACTGTTGGCTTGCCTAGCGACGACATTGAGCGCTATCACGATCTATAAGTGAAATTAGGTCGTTACACAAACAAATGAATCTCTACTTCTTTGTTCAAGCAATTCAACATCTTTGAATAAGAATGGAAACAAGCGTGAATGGAAGCATGCTCTTTGCATCCTAGGGTCTAATTTAGTGGTTGAAGAAATGAGTGAAAAATATGAGGTCTCGATTCAAATTTCAACGAAGGTAAAATAATAGATGATTTTTTTCTATTTATTCAAGTTTTGATGGATAAAATTACTCGGTACATATGTTAGTACCTAGTGGAAGCCATTTATCTTATGAAATTAGTCAGATCGCGTAGAACACTATGATTATTAAAATAAGAAATAGAAGCATGCTCCTTCCCCAGTTAGAACCGAAGTCGAAATAATTGAAGTGAGAAAAACAGATGGTGTCATGTTCTATGTTTTTCTCATGTTCATGAAACTTGTAAGTAAGCGCCAAAGGGGAAATGGGGACCAGTGAAAGATAGAAATGGGCTGGTGGTCTGTACTAAGGTGGAGTACAATAAATAAAGGAGATTTTTCACTTATTTAAGACTATTAATATAAATAAAATCATTTCTTATTTACTCCAAAAATAGCAGATTTATTTATAAATATAGCAGATTTTAAAGTCCATATATTTAATCCTAAATTCTTAAAATAAATAGAAAACCACTTATTGAGGGATCTCCTTTGATCTTTATTAACCATTTCCTTTTTTCTCTCCCCTCTAATTTCTCTTTTCTTGCTACTTTGTTTGCCCCCACCCCCCCTCCCAACCTCATATCCGTTCTCTCTTTCTCCCCATTCTCGTCTTCCACCTTCACTTTTTTAACCTAATCACCATAGTCCCATTTTTAACCTCTAAAACCATAAACACTTTTATTGCCTTCAAAGAAAGAAGCTTGGTGTAGTTGTACCCATATTTTAAAATCCATAATCATGAGCCATGGCCCATTTCTCGTTACCACCTAATAGCTGTTCTATTTAAATTTTTTTTTGTATATTTTTAATTTATGGGGCTCAGATTAAGGTAAGTGGCGCGTTACAAAGAAGATGATTTACTCGGACAGGGTAATTACTGGAGATGATATACCCCACATATATATATATANATGTTATTGTTAATTATACACTATGATATCGCTAAGATTTTTTATTATGCCATACGTGGTTGATGGTAAATTATACCATATGTAAGGGAATGAGTATGCATGGTTTACAATGTACATATACCACACATATATGACCTTACATTTCGCATGATATATAAATTTTCATAAAATACAAGATGTATAAGGTAAACAAATAAATAAATAAATTGTATAATATAGACAAAATTATAGATTATATACCGAAAAAAATATTTTTTGCTCGGTTTTAATGGTAGAAAAGATCTTTTCATGTATCAAAGGAATCATGGCAACAATTATGAATAAATCATTTGGCATTTGGGTTTAAAATAGGAGAATATTTTTTATTAGCTATAAAATAGGAAATGATTGGTACAAACGTGATTCATGGTCTGACAAGAGTGGGTTGCTCTAGTGGTAAGCACCCTCCACTTCCAACCAAGAGGTTGTGAGTTCGAGTCACCCCAAGAGCAGCAAGGTGGGGAGTTCTTGGAGGGGGAGCCGAGTTTCTATCGGAAACCACAGGGTAGAGGTAAGGTTTGCGTACACACTATTCTCCCCAAACCTCACTAGTGGGATTATACTGGGTTGTTGTTGTTGTGATTCATGTTGAACTGTAAATCTTTTGCTGCTACTTTTGTTAATTCTTGGAGGGGTAAGGTTTGCGTACACACTATCCTCCCCAAACCTCACTAGTGGGAATATACTGGGTTGTTGTTGTTGTGGTGATTCATGTTGAATTATAAATCTTTTGCTGCTACTTTTGTTAATTCATTAATGCTACTAAGATTTTGCAATATTTTGTTAAATACCGGACAGTTATGAAGCGGGCTAAAGCATCTCCATCTTCGGGCCTGGGCCCATGAAAATCATGTGATCCCGCTCCATTTGTTTGTACCTTCCTTCAATCATACACTTTATCCACCGACACTGTTACTTATCTTTGAGCTGTAAGACGAACGCGTACTCCTTGAATTCACTGCTGATTTGATTTGACAATTGTTTTCGTTAATGTCTTTATTTCTTTTGGAAAATACTACTAAGTATTTTAAATAAGGGAATTACATGCTCACCTTCATTTTTTTCAATTGAATTTATCACTTTGTTCTTGAAACTACGATATAAAGTTCCTTGAATTCTTATACATTTTGGACAACAAACCTTAAAATTGATAATGCCAATCATGGAGAGATCTAGCTAGAAAGATTTTGACCGTGAACAAATAGGTTTAAGGTTAATTGATTGTAAGTAACCTAATAATAATATAGATATTTAGTCGGGGAGTACTGAGGGATAGAGAGATTCACACAATTATTAATCATTCCTTACCTTGATAAAACCATTTTGGAAGGAATGACATCTTTAATAGGGATATTTTACTACTGTCCCATACGTAAAAACAAGGGTAGTTGTTGAATGGGATTGATTTTGATAACTTTTTTGCATGCATGACCTAATAAAACTCCGATCCCAAGTTTTATGGCTAATCGTTTTGTTAAGTCTGACCAAACTTTTCTTTGTCCAATTCGATGGTTAAACAGCTAGAAAGAAGACAGAGAGAAAAAGGAAATGTTAATCTTGTGCTTTTCATTTCTCCATCCCCCCCCCCCCCCCCCAAAA